AGAATCGTTCCGAGCTCGGTGGTTCTCCCGATAGACCTCGCCGAGTTGCTTGACTGCCTCAGGGTCCCGGAAGGTATTGTCATCGGAATCAGGGTTCTCTCGGTACGGCTTTTTGTGTATACGGTTCAGATCTTCGTGGAGCGCATCGACTAGCCAGCTGACGAATTCTTGAGAGTCCTGTTGGCCATAACCAGAAAACATGGGATTCGCCCTACCAAGCTTGAGTTTGAAGTCTTTGGGCGAGACAGATGAGCTGTTGTCGAAGCCATAGATGGAGCTCAAAAGACCAGCGTACGACTTGGCAATTACACCTTTGAAGCCTATGGGGTTGTCGATGTTGACCTCGTCTTTCCATTTGTTATTCAGAAAGTACATGCTCAACTCTTCGACACTCCGTAGACATTGGAGAGCGGAATTCATGTAACAGGTATTGCCAAGGTTCGTAAGTCCCACGTGGCCACGGACTTTGCCATTCTGCTTTCTTCCGCGCGTCATGGGTCCTCCCGTTGGAGTGCTCCTACCACTGTTGGGGTTGCTCTGCAGGCCCTTGCCAGCGAGAGCACCAGCCTTGTTCTTGGAAGCTGTTTTGGTGGTATCGGCAATGTATTCACCCTTGTCGTCGTGCTCCTCAAGTACAATGATCTGGTCCTGGGTCAGACCAGCGTCAGCCAGCGTCAGAGACGCGTTGAACGTCTCATTGGCCGTCTCGTCCTTGCCTGTGACCAGCTCACGCTCTGATCCAAAGGCAAGAGCACTGAAACTGTCGGCCGCCATAACGAGTGTAGGCCGTTGCGTGGGTGCGGGTGTAACAGGAGATCCGTTCTGGGGAGACGCGTCGGGTGTTAATATGCCGGATGGCTGTGTTGCCAGTGGCTGGTCTGTAGGAGCGGGCGTGAGAATGCGCCAAATGCGAACTTTGTTGTTGGGGTCAACGCCTGCGGCTTTCTTGGCAGCGTCGACAAAGGCTACAAAGCTCTCGTAGCGGCTCGCGACGAACCTTGCGGCTGGTTTCGTGCTGTCAGCGGCGTTGGGAGTTTTTCGCACTTTCTGGATGGTAAAGATGGGAGGGTGCAGCTCGTAAGAAATATCCTCGCTGACTTGGCCCGGTACCGTGTTGTGGGCGTAGCGGCGTATGACGGGACTCGACTTCTCAAGCCCGTACCAGCTAAGGACCAGATCCCACGCTTTGCGGGGCACAATCTCGAAGTCTTGGCCCATGGTTGTCTCCTTGCTGAGCGCGACGAAGTCATCGCCATGCTGGTCGACCAAGTTCTCGTGCGCTAGTTCTGGGTCGACGAGGTGCGAGTTGTCGACAGGGCCCACGGGACCCAAGGTCGCGTTCCTGCTGAAGTCGTTGGGCCTGCCTCTGTTCTCCGACGTCCTTGCCCACACGCGCTCTAGCCACTGTTCGGAAATAATGTAGCCCTCCTGCCCTTCCACAAGGGCCTCGCTCGACATCATGCCCATGACGCGAGTCACCTGCACGTCGATGTCTGGGAGCCCCTGCTGCTCAGTGGCGTCATCGTCGCCGTCGCCGTCGGGGCTGCTGCCGGCGGGCGCGTCAGCCATCTCTACGGAAGTTGCGCGTGCACTGCGCTGTGGTGTGCTGGTAGGCAGGGGCTTGCTGGCGCGGGCGGCCGAGGGCGCGTCGCTGGTGCGCGTGCCGTGTGCGTCGGGCTTGTCGTCCATGTCGGAGTGGAGGCGCTTAGCGGGTGAGGATGCGCGTGGAGGGGGCCGTTGAGGATGTGCTTCGGTGGTGCGTGTGCGGTCCAGGTCGGTGACGGAGCCCTCGCGGCTGTCGAGGGTGAGGTTGGCGTAGGCTTCGCTGGGGGAGCTGGCCCCGGTGTAGCTGTCGCGCGCCGAGAGCGTGCCTGGTTCGGGCGTGTCGACCAGGACTTCGTCGTGCAGGTGCGGTGGCAGATAGCGTGGCGGCGATGCTGAGGGTTGCGGGGAGGAGCGAGGGGACCCTACACCGACGCTGCCCACATTCGGTGAATGCGTGCCGTCGCCGTTGGACGAGTCTCGTGCGGGGACCACGATCTTCCGCTTCTTGTTATTAGTGGAGGCCGTTTTGAAGCTGATTGCCTACCGTGAAGCCCGCGAAGAGCTTCAGGGCAGACGGTAGAGGGCGGACGAGCGAGGGTGAAAGGGCAAGCAAAAGGCGGACAAGGACTATGCAGCGGGCCGCAGTACCTGGGCAATGGCGCGTCTTCTTCACAAACACAGTAGCACGGCGGTGAACAAACGAGGGGTAACAGCGCAATGTCCGCAAAAATCAGAGCAGCGCCGTGACATGGGCCGTCGTCACTATCGCTGTCCGACCGCTCAGCCTTGCGGACACTACCTTGGTAAGCGAGCTTGGCGACGCGGTGAATGCTCACCCCCTGTCGCGTGTGCGAAGCTGCCAGAACACCATCTGTTTGTGTTTGGTGCATGTCACAATCGCCTAGACAACACCATGGGAAACCACAGCACATGCATGTGTAGAATTCATGACGCCATGTTAACAGTCTGTATTCTGTCCGGCGTTTGGTGTTACGTATGATACAAGCGCAGCATCGCGTTTCATCTTGATCCGCCACTGTTCAGCCATGCGAAAGCAGAGGCACCGCCTACTGGATTCGCAGATCGAGGCTTCGACAGGCCAGGCATATTTTCCCTTGCTTTGTCCCCAGACACACTCCTCTTCACCGGAGGAGCCGCCGCAGGGTTGCTTGCTTCGCTCTCGCCTCTGCGCTTTCCATCATCAAAGAAGCGTGACTGCCCGGTCACAGGTGATGAGTTTGACGTCGACAGAGTACGCGTGGATTTAGAAGGTTTCAATACTTTGATGCCTGTATCACGTCGCTGGTAGCTGGGATCTGAGCTGGCGGTTTTACCCACGTTGGCCCAATCCAGAGAGCCCGTGTTTGTCTTCTCCGCTTGGTCACGGCGCCAGTTGCTCCAGATGGCTTGCGGTGCTCCTGATTGTGGAGCTCCACTTACAGAGCCCGGCTCCTGAGCATCCTTGTCAGAGCGACTTGACGCTGAGAGGCCTGGTTGTGGACGCTGTTCGAGACTCCTCCGGCCACTTGACCCGCCATCCTCAGAGTTGGTCACTGGGACTGTGCCATTCGATTTCTCCAAGGACGAATACGTCTCACGGGTCGGTGAATTGCTAGACATCTGAGTTGTGTGATGCGCGTGCGCTGAAGCCAGAGTCGAAGTAGCGCGGTTCGGATCCGTCGTAGGGGCACCGCTAGCGTGCAAGCACTTGAACGCGCGATCATCTTCAGGACGGACGAGTGGTACCTGAAGCTTGTTACGGTCATCATCATACAGAGTCAGTTGGTTGCATGAAAGAAGGAGGTCGGCATTATGTGCTCGAAGCATGTCGCTACCAAGGAAAATCTGAATGGCTTTTGGATTCACCTCAGCGTCGTGCTCCTCGATGACGGTGAAATCTACGCCTATCGAAGGAAGCTGCGGCGCCGGGCTGTCGGATCGTGAAGATGCTGAAACAGGCACAGCCTCTGGAAGGTAGACAGACAGCTTGATCTTGCGAACCCGGTCCTCGTCCAAAATGACCCGATCCTGAAAGCCCAGGTGTTCAATTGTGTACCAGTCCAGATAGGATGTGTATGAACCTGAACAGACTGCTGCATACAGCAAGGTATCGTGTTTGAAGTTGGTGTTGAGCCAGCAACGTATTATAGCAGGAACGGAGCCGAGAATGAACAAGCCAGGAGCCAGCCCTGGGACGTCTTGAGGCGTTGTCGGACCAAAGCTAGTGAGGCTGTTGGCGCGACCCGAAGCCATAGAATGCACCGACTGGCCGGCAGAACTTTGCCTTCCGTCTGACTTGTGGGAGTAGCTGCGCTCGCTCATGACATGCCCGCCCATGCTGCTACCAGTGCGGGGTATCAAATCCAGCGACGATCTCGATGCATGCGCCCAGTGACCGTGATTGGCAGTTTCATCGAAGCGGACGCTGTTCGCGCGAGATGTGGCCCCTACACGGCGGGGTTCCTCGTCGGCGTCAAGTTGGAGATTGCCGATGAGATTGCTGGACTGGTCGTCGAAGTTCGTGAAGTGTTCGGCGGTTGGCTGCTGCAGGGGAACTAACAGTTTTCAGCTAAAGATGCACAAATTCAGATGAAGCGTCTTACCCTGTTGGGGTGTTCCCCCCAGCACCGAAGGAAAGGGCGATGAAGTCCCCCAGACGTTCTTCAGACGCGAGTCGTCTTCCTGCTTGCGCTCCAGGCGGGCGACACGATCGGCGAGTTCGGCCTGGTGCTCCTGCACACGTAGCATTTCGCTTTGAAAACGCCAGAAATCGTCGCGCGGCTGGAAGGCTACGCTCTGAGGATCCATGCCCGTGACTCTCTCATCCCTTGGTGACGTGCTCAACAAAGAGACACCAGCCTTCCCGTGGGGACTCCCCTACCTTCACCACCGAGCGACCGCTGCCCAGTAGCCCAGTTCTTTTGTGGCAGTCTCTCTTGTTTAGTAGAGTAGGCGTTTGCGGTGTGCGCGGGTCTGGGTCGTCGGTTGTGAGGAATGCGTTTGAAGCCGACTATCGAGGTGTTCGGTGGGCAATTTGGAGGTAAAGGCAAGATCTGTGGAGAGATATCGGCCGTGCTACTATCTCAGACAGCAGGCGTTGGGTGTTGGGCGGTGTGATTAGTTGGACTACTGGAGCAGAAGGTACGATGGTCGCAACAGCGGTCTTTGCCGAAGATCAGGCGGTTCCCGAGACGGCGCTAGAGGGAGCGAGATAATGTACAGTGTCCCAGAAAAGTTTGAACAGGAAAGGAAATAGGAACAGGAAAATCAGACTGCTGGTGTATTCTTGCGTCCTGTTGACGCGATGCTGAGCTGAGGTTCGTCGAGTGACGCTGCTAACCACAAGCCGCCGGAGTTATGCACCCTCGCCCGATTGGACACGACTTCCCCAGAGCCCCGCTTGATCGCGCAGCTGAAATCAAGCTTGCCCACATCCAATGTCTACCACTTTTGCGCTAGATCGAAGAAGACTGAGCACTCTCCCACTGTTTCCACGCTTCCTGATCGTTCCACGGCGGCAGTACCATGGGCAGCTCCTCAGGCGACTGCAAAAGTGGAGGCACAAAGTCAGTATCTACCTCATGCATTTCATACAGTCAGAACTTACTTGATCCGGCCACTGCTCTGCGATGACCTTGATCAACTCCTGGTAGAAGATCTCGTATCCTGCTGGGTTCAAGTGAAGCCCTGAAACGTGCAGTTAGCATGGCGAGGAAACAGGAAGGTTTTGCGAAACCCTTACCATCGTACATAAGCTCCACGAGGGCGTCATTCTGCGAGACGTCTAAAGAGCCCGGGAGATCATCGCCCAGCTTCCAAATATCTGCTTTGAAGTCCGTCCTCGCCATGAAGGCTTTCCAGAGATTTACGACAGGCAGGCCAAGCTCGGCGCCAAGTTGAACGACTGCATCGGCATATGTTTTGGTCGCACCCGCCAGTCGCGTCACGCTAGCATATCCGTTCGACTGGTCTCTTGGCCACCACAGATGCTCGTTGATTGGGGGAGGAGCTACTAGGATGATACGAGGGTCGTGGGCTTTGATCTGCGGATGGGACATGATGTCCTTTAGGTTCTTGATGAACTCATCAAGAGGAATATGCTGCTTGTTTGGCGCATCTGGTAACGATGAGTCGTTGGCGCCGAAGAAGATGGTCTGTATGGTCAGTCAGGGCTGCATCTAGCATGGACAAGTCTTACCATGAACCGAATCTTAGCCTGATCCGGCGGGGGCACGATGGCGGGCAGTATCTGGAGAGCTTGGCGGGTGTTGTACCCACTGTCATGGTGTTAGCTGTCGGTGCGGTCGTAAAGGTAGGACGTCATAACCTGAAGCCGCGGTTGACTACATCAAGTCGCCTGATGTATGCTGCTGGAATCATTAGTGCCATTCACAGTCGCCCGAGCCAATGGCCGCCGCGGAAGCTTCACGAAGAGATGTTTTGCATGGGATAGTGATCGGGAGACATGATGATATTTGGACTGACCAGCTTGAAGGGCTGCAGAGAAGGCAAAGCCTCGCTCCTGGGAGAAGGAGTCTTGGGTTATGCTGTCTCCGAAGAGGAAAAACTGTTCATAGAGAGCAGGCTACAGTCATCAGCACGTAGTCCCAATGGCACTCAATGTCCAGCAGGACTCACCATCTTGAATGCTTTTAGAGAGATGTAGGCACGATCGTCGTCAGACCTTCCGGAATGTCTGCTAGTACCTTGGATATCTCGCTCGGCGAAATCCCGGTGTTCCGAAACCGGCTTTCCCGAGTTGCGTCGTCTGTATCTTCAGATCAGCGGCTCAGCAGCAGATGGATGCACGGGCGGATAAGAAACGACAGATTGGCAGCCTCTACCCCCCAATTCTCCCGACCGCGAGACGCACGTCAGTGTGTAGTGGTGGGGCTGGGGGCTGCGATTGGCGGCTACGGCATCGCGCCTTCTCCGTGTAGGGTTAGCACCTTCCGTTTGCCCTGCGTTCCGTCACCATCGCGTCCACGGGTGCACCCCAATAATCACATGGGACGCGCCTACCGCCCTTTGCGGTGGTGAGACACCTGAGGTCAGCCTCCGAGGGCTGCGCACCGCTGCCTGCTGGAGTTGCTCGAGCTGCTGCTTTTGCTGCTTTGTTCGCCTGGCCGCCCTGCACACGCAAGCCGGTCTGAAACAGCTGGCGGACCCGCGGCGGAGCCTATCTCGCCCCGGACACAGGACAACAACGCATCCTGGAGGGATCCGCGGCATAGTGGGGAGCAGCCATGATGCCCAGCCATAACATATCCATCGTGACACCGCCATCGTTTTCCGGATGACCATGATAGCGGCCTCTGCTCGGCGACATGTCTCTGGCTGCCCTCGACACTAATAGACCGCCCCTGCCCCGATTGTAGCTGCTGCCTCCCTACCCACCGCCCTCGCCATGCCCAAGTCGATGCAGTCGTACCACAGCGTCGACGACTACGACGCCGACGATGACTATGCCGCCGAACAGCGCGAGCGCGACGACACCTTCAGCAGCACCACGCCCACGTCGCCCACGCTCACCTTCAGCGCCCAGCGCCCGATGCGTGCCTCGGACACGGACCTCACGAGGTCGACGGGCAGCGTCAACGAGCGGACCGCCCTGCTAGGAGTGCCCCATCTGCGGGGGGCCAGGTCCTACAAGAGCCTGCCCGCCACCTCCCCGGGCACCCCTCGCCCGGGCATGACGCGCAACAACAGCCAGCTGCCCACCAGCTCGCGCATGCGGAGCCGCCGGGGCTCCCTCACCGGCGGCCACACCTTCAGCCAGCGCCTCGTCAATGCCCTGGGCGAGCGGGGGGCGGGCCTCGAGCAGAGCATGCACTCCGCAAAGGCCTCCTTCTTCCAGGACAACCGCGTGTGGTACGATCAGTTCACGTCGACCGACTGGGTCCACGACAACATCGCCGACGCCTACCGCGTCAAGGCCCTGCGGAGCCGAAAGGACATCAGGGGCCGCCTCGCCGCTTGGTTCGACGGTGCGCAGGGCTGGATTCTGGTAGCCCTAATCGGCGTGCTCACTGCCGTGTGCGCCTACTTCGTCAACACCACCGAGACCACGCTGTTCGATCTGAAGCAGGGCTATTGCACTACCGGCTGGAACAAGAGCCGCAAGGCGTGCTGCCAAGGTGCCTCGATATGCGACAACTGGCTCAAGTGGTCCGAGGCGGTCCGCAATGACAGGCTGGACGTCGTCCAGACCCAATATGGCTTTTTCGTCCTCTCCGTCATCTTGCTCTCCATGGCCTCGTGTCTGCTCACGCTCACCACAAAAACAGTCATCCCTTCAGCCATCTCTCTGTCCACACTCGACGAAAACCTCGGCGCAGAAGTCCGGAGATACTCTGATCAGGCAGAGGAAGAAGACCGCAAGCGCAGCATCAGCCCAGAGTCAAGGTTCCAGGAAGTCCAGGCACGGCCACCCATGGTCTACTACTCCGCTGCTGGCAGTGGTGTAGCCGAAGTCAAGGTCATCCTCAGTGGTTTCGTTCTCCACGGTTACCTGGGTGTACGCACACTGCTCGTCAAGACGCTAGCTCTGATCCTCAGTGTTGCATCGGGCCTCAGTCTCGGTAAGGAGGGCCCATACGTGCACATTGCGACTTGCATAGGAAACATTGCGTGTCGTATATTCTCAAAGTATAGCAACAACGACGGCAAACGCAGGGAGATTCTCAGCGCTAGTGCCGCTAGTGGTGTTGCCGTAGCTTTCGGCGCTCCGATTGGCGGAGTGCTCTTCAGTTTGGAGGAAGTGAGCTACTACTTTCCATCCAAGACACTCTTCAGAACCTTCTTTTGCTGCATCGTAAGTCGCTAGTCTCTCCTCTTGACCTTGCTAATCGCTCATAGGCGGCTGCGTTATCTCTTAAATTCTTGGATCCATACGGCACCAAGAAGATCGTCCTCTTCGAGGTTCGGTATCATCTAGACTGGAAGTTTTTTGAACTGGCAACCTTTGTGTTCACCGGCGCTGTGGGCGGCGTTCTCGGCGCATTGTTCATCAAAGCATCTCGCATCTGGGCACGGACATTCCGTCGCATACCCGTTATCAAGAAGCATCCGCTCCTTGAGGTCTTCTTGGTTGCGCTTGTGACTGGGTTGATCAGTTTCTGGAACCGATACACCAAACTTCCCGTCACCGAACTCTTGTTCGAACTGGCAAGTCCGTGCGACACGTACACTGACACCGGCGACGGTCTCTGTCCGACTCTGGAGCATATTCCGAGCGTACTCAAAACCTTGTTTTTCGCATTTGTCATCAAAGCTCTTCTGACTGTCGTCACCTTTGGTATCAAGGTCCCAGCCGGTATCTATGTACCTTCCATGGTCGTAGGCGGTCTCGCCGGGCGCTTCATCGGCCACACTGTTCAACTTGCTGCTCTACGCTTCAATCATCTGGGCGTCTTCGGAGAGTGTTCGCCTGACGGTCCGCCAGGTTCATGCGTCGTTCCTGGAGTGTACGCGCTAGTGGCTGCTGGAGCAACAATGACCGGCGTCACTCGTCTCAGTATCACACTGGCCGTCATCTTGTTCGAGCTCACGGGTAGTCTGGATCACGTACTCCCTTTCTCTCTCGGCATCCTGGTCGCAAAATGGGTGGCAGATGCTATTGAACCGCTCAGTATCTACGACTTGCTCACAGACATGAACTCGTACCCATTCCTCGATAACAAAGTTCGACCCATCTTCACATCCGAGCTTGGCGACATCACTACTGGGAAGAGACAGGATCATATCATCGACATTTCAGAAGACGCGCTCATTCCTGCAGTCGAGCTGCGTGCAAAGCAACGTGGACTACAAATGATAGGTGAACTGGACGGCGGCCTGTCCATCATAAAAAACGGCGTTCTTGTTGGCCTCATTCCTGCACCAGATCTAGAGTTTGCGCTCGATAAGCTGGAGAACGAAGAGAACACGCTTTGCCTCATGTCACCGCGAGTTGATTGGGCTGCAGGGCGTGAGCCCCAAGACGAAGAAGAGCAAGAAGCCTATGATCCAAGTGATTTCACTCCATATATTGACCCAGCACCTGTTGCATTGGATGTTCACTCACCGATGGACTTGGTATACGAATGCTTTGTAAAGCTCGGACTACGATATATATGCGTGCTCAGAGATGGCAAGTACGCTGGTCTGGTACGTATCACGTTCGAAGTCGAGACTTAGCAATACTAACTGCAAGTAGGTTCATAAGAAAACCTTCGTCAAGTACGTCAAAGAATTGGAGCATCAGGAAAAGAAAGGACGTGAGATCTAAGTCCTAGCGGCATTACATTTCCCTTCTTTGTTTCTTGCATAGCGTCATACCCTCATTATCATTCAGCGATCTTTCCCTTCACTTTCAGTTCATTTCCACAAGCATATACTGCATTTAGACTGGCGTTGTATGGCATGTCTTCGTAGATGACGCGGTATCACATGGCAAGCGTAGAGCATACATGGAATCATTCATTCAAAATGTTCACAGGATTGGTTCACAGCCTTCATCATTGCATCCGGTGTTTCCTTTGTCAACATAGCTTGAGATGCCCGACTACTTGTTCTACAACATTTCATGCACTCTACAATTTGAGGTCGATGTGGTAGTGCAGCCGTTTGCACGGTCCCTGATGTGTGCGCACGCGATCGCATCAACCTCCTATCTGACATCGTTGCCTGGAATAATTTTCTACGCAGCTGCACATTCACTTCTTGTGGAGTCGTGACCTAGCGTCTACGCTGAATCATATCCATAGTCGAGTGAAATGTACATAAGGATCAACCTGACAATTACGACCATTACCGCTACATATAGAACCGATCTCATCTGCCTGTCTACCAGGAATCGTTGCAATGCGTATGGCCTTGTTATTTCTCCTGTTCTTAGGGGTTCTTACATTAGTACTAGCCTCCACGAATCGGTACTGTCGCACCGGATCCGAAACTGACGCCCTCGATCCTGGCTCTATCGGCCCCCAGGAGGGTAACATGAATCATTTCAAGTTTGGTATCGCGCAACCCTGGCCTCCCATCAGCATCCCTAAGAAGGGCCGGATTCGTCTCCTTCGATATTGCTTTGCGACCGCCAAGGCCAAAGCGGAACTTGATTGTCCACTCCAGAAGGGGTTCAAGATATGGGCCGACGCCATCAAGACACCAGCCAGTGCTGCGAACGGCCATTGCCTCGGGTGGATGGAGATTCATGACGGCAACGAGGATAAAAATGAGAGAACGTATCCGACCTGCTACGTCGATGACTACAAGGACAAGAAAGAGCCTGGAACGTGGAACCCAAAAGTAAGCGCGGACGCTCTTGCAATACACCTTGGGGCAGAAGAAGAAGCGCCATACGCTAGTATTGGGTATGATCATCGCAAAACCACCGCTGGCCGTCATTACATGGTCATGGGCTCGAAAAGCACAGAGCCTCATCGGGTAGCCCACGAAGTAAGTCTCTATGTTGCCAGTCGAGCACCCCTCGTCTCCAAGTCCGCTGACACAAGAGCTAGATCGGCCACGTCCTCGGCATGGCTCACGAGCACTGCCGGTTTGACCGCGACGAAAACGTCCTTTTCCGCTGCGATAAACTAGTAGGCTACAAAGACGCCCTCATCGCCGCCAGCGTCGCCGGCCACCAAGACGCCGCAGAG